CGACTGCGGGACTCTTCCCCTGCGCGGAAGGCCACGCCGCGGCGGCCGCCGCACCGCCTCGCTCCGCCCGGGAGGCGCGGCGGAGGGATCCGCAGCTTGATTTATCATCAAAGTTTTGCCCAGGCTGGGATTTTTTAAAGCGGTACTCGCAACTTTCCCCCGCCCCGGAGCGGGGATGGGGGCGCACAGGGTGGGGGCGCACGGGGTGGGGGTGCACCGGGTGGGGGTGGCCTCCCGGGGACATGGCTCCTGCACAAAGTGCCACAACTGGGCATCGAAGCGCAATGAACATCCCACCTGCCTCCAGACCCTGCGCGCTCACCAGGGATTCCTAACTTCGCTAGTTGAGTGATGCCTGGGCCCGGGAGGCCAGGTGTGTGTGTGTGTGTGTGTGGGAGTGTGTGTGTGTGTGTGTGTGTGTGAAGGAGGCGGGGGGGGGGGACCGGGGCTGAAACCCAGGAGGCTGTAAAGCGCCCCGTGTGCCTGGTGGTGTCTGCCCCTGTGCTCAGCTCCAGGCCTGGGACTGAGAAGCAGGGGCAGCAGGCGGGGTGCCCAGAAGCCGGGCTGAAGGAAGGAGCGCGATGCCGCCTCCACGCCGCCGCAGGGGTGATGTCACTTCTCTCTGTGGGACTCAGTTTTCGCGTCCACGAAATGGGGGTGAGGCGACCCAGTTGGTGGGGCGCCTTCTAGCATAGAGATGCTGGGGCTCCAGGCGGTGAATTGGATCGCCCCCTTCTGGACGGCGAGGCTCCTTTCCGGGACGGATGAGCCTGGATGGACTCGCGCGCCCGCGCGCCCGCGCGCCCGAGGAGGTGTGTGCACGTGTGTGCGCGCGTGCACGTAGGTGCGAGGGCATGTGTGCGTGCATGTGTGCGCGCGAGCATGTGTCCATGACTGTGTGCATGTGTGCGCGCGTGTATGTGTGCGTGTGCTTGTGTGTCGGGAGGGAGGGAGACACGGAGTCACTTCCCGTTCCCAAGAGCAGGAATCCTGCGAGATCTTCTGACTCCTTCATGGATCCTTTTACCGGTTTTAGGACAGACACCCCCCACTCCCCTCCCCCCACAGTAAGGACCGGAGGGTAGACTTGTGTCCCACTTAAAAGCTGAGAAAGTGCCTTAAATCAGAGAAACCCGAGGTTTTGCGGCAGTTCTGGGCAGCGTCTCTCAGGTCTAGGGGAGGTCCTGGACTAAAGGCAGGGTCCCTCCTGCCCTTCCTCAAGCCTGGCCCGTTATGGTCTCATCATCATAGCACAGCGCCAGCCCGGGCAGCCACCATTTCAGAACCGCGGACAGCTCCCGGACAGGCCCTCTGCTGCGAGGACCGCCACGATTTCAGTACAGTGGACAGCTCCCCGAGACAGGCTGGCTGCTGCGAGGACAGCCATCCTTTCAGCATCACGGACAGATCCATCGTCTTCTGCCCTCTCCTCGTCCAGCGGGGTCTGCACCGCCGGCCTCCCGCTCCCCACTGCAGACCACAGGTGGATCCAGCATCCAGCATTGGCCGCAAAGTTTAAGAAGGTTAGAGGCGGTGGGACACACTCTGTGCTCTGCCTTTTCTCTGTCTTCGCATCCCATATTAAGCGCACAGTACCATGAACAAGGCCTATGGTCGCCAGCAACAGCTCTGTTCCCTCAAAACTAAGGAGGCCTGCCCTTTTCCCAAGCGCACACGCGATCAGTCGCGTTTTCAGCACCGTGGACAGCGCGCCGACCCCGAGGCGAGGCCTTCCTGAAGCGTCCTCTCACCACAGACAGATCATCAAACCATCATCAAATCGGGTCCTCCCCTCTCCACCCCCCCCCCCGCTGTTCACCTTTCTGGCCCAATTAACCCCGTTCTTCCTACACAGAAGTGGTATTTAAGTTCTCCTGGGATGAGCTAAGAGCTCATTCATTGAGTCACTGGAACCTCTTTCCCAATAAAATAGATGCTGGCAGTCCCATGAAAACCGTGAGGAAATTGAGAATCTAAAATCACCTAACAATGCCAAGGTTGAAACTCGAGACAGAATCCTCTCCAAAGAGCTCAAATGTGGAGCTTTCTTCTCTTAAACTACAAATTGGAGGGGGGGGGCACAGGAAAGGGGACAAGGAGAAGGAGGGGGATTATAAGTGTGTGTTTGGAAGGCAGAGCAGACACTCTCCCTGGGGGTTGGAGCAGCATACTGATGTTCTACCACTGACCCACTGACCTTCAGGGATTTCTCCTTCCCACAGTCTGGAACAAGGTTAAACCTCATGACCTCTAAGGCCATATGACTTTAACTAGACTCATACCTTGTGCTCCAGTGCCCTCCTCGGTCATGCCTCATCTCCACTCAGTTCCGGCCCCTATGCACATAGGCTCCACCCCCTAGCTGAGCCCCCATTGGCCAAGGTCCAGCCTGAGCCCCCCCACAGTGAAGGATATCTGTGCCCTCTCCCAGCTCTTGAGCCTTCACTGTGCCTCAGCACCATGCTAAGAACTTGAATTTTTCCATTTAATCCACCCAGGATAGGGTAGGGTAGGGTATTGTGGATTCAAGAGCTACTCCTTTAAGTTTTAAGTGCTTCCACTTGCTAATTATGTTACCTTAGACAAGTTGTTTGGCTTTTCTGTGTCTCAATTTCCTCATCTGTAGTAAAAGAATAATAATATCTACCTCTCAAGATGGTTGTGAGGGTTAAATGAATTGGTACATGCAAAGCACTTGGAACAATGCCTGCACACAGGAAGTGCACACTGACTGTTATGGTGGTTGTTATTGCCTATAGATTAAGAAACAGCAGTTTGGAAAGGTTAAATATGTTTCCTAAAGCAAGGTAATGAGAGATCAGTGAACTATAGATTTCAGAGCCCATGATCTAGCTTAAGTCTTGAGCACCTTGAATTCAACCCATCTCCGCTGCAGTGTAGGGAAGTGAGATTCAGAAAGGACAGGTGATTTCCTTGGAGTCACGTGTTCTGTCAGAACCAGGTACAGATCCTTTGCAGCCCACCTCCAGACTCTCCCACCACATGGCACTGTCCCATTTGTATTTCCTGCAGCACCTACTTAAACTGTGATTTACACTTTACATTGCATTCACACCCCTGATCTCACACAATTCACATAACAACCCCTGAGGCCAATACTATTACCTCCCACCCACATGGGGTTATGCAGGGAGGTGGGGCATAGCCAGATGGGAAGGTAATATTCTCAGCCTGTACTCCATTCCTGTGTAGTTGTCTCTTGTCTCCTTCACCCAGCCAAATGCAAGTGGAATCGGCGTGTAACAGAGGCAGAAAGTAGCCAGAAAAGCATCTCTGGGGATTTACAAAGGTTGGGAGCTACTCATTCCACCCTAGGAATGCCTCAAGCGAGAGTAAGCCTCCCATCCCCAGAGGTAACTAAACAAGCATCCAGCACTCACAAGGACGTGTGAAGCAAATATCACTGCTATTTCCCTTACACAAATGAGGCTCAGAAAAGGACCATTGTGTCATGGACTTCGGCTGGGGAAAATGATTGTTTTAAAGCTGCCCCCAAGTGGGTGGGCTTGTACTACCCCTTACCTGTGAGCTAAGCTCGCTAGAGAGTCCTTGCTCTCCCTTCCCTTCCCTTCCTGTGCGGTGTCACTTCAGCACTGTGGCTCTGTCAGTAGTAACAGCCGTAAGATTTGTCCTTTTAATCCAGAATCAATAACAAATTTCATTTAAAAATAAATTAAACCAGGCATTGGAAATCATTCACCGTGTGGGCCGGGGCCTATGGAACATCGTCTAAATGGCTTCCTTTCGCTCATCTATCAATGTCAAGGGTGGGGTGGGGGTGGGAGGGGAAAATACCTGAGCAGCCTGATTCATGGAGAAACTACTTAAATGTATCAGCCCCTAACAATGAGCAATGTAAGCCCAGAGCCGCACCTTTTAACACACCAATAACATGGGAGTAAGGCTTCATGGGAGCTTATCAAGACCCCACGGTCACTGGCTTCCAGGGAGCCCATTTGTAAGAGGGAACAATGGCTTTAGTATGGAGCTGCCTAATTTCCAGAGTGCATTACTGAGCTCTGAGGAGCAATGGAATTCTATTAAAGTCTTATCTGCCACAGGAGGGTAGGAAGCCGGCAGGGAAATCCAGACTTGGCACAGACATGCCCAGAAAGCACCAGGGCTGACCCTAGGTGGGGAGGTGGGGGGGCGGATGAACCAGCCTACAGTGAAGGAGGGAGATGGGTGGGGGCCCCGGATGTGGGGAAATATGTACATTAATAGAGCTCCGGTTTCCAGCGATTACGTTTACATCAGCGAATAAAACTTGGCAATAAAACATCCGAGCTGCGTCTCAGACAGCATTTCCTTTTACAGCCCGGTGTATTTCATTCATTATAACAGGAGGCTGGGAGCCTGAGGTGTCCCCATTTCTCCCCCCTTTAATTAAATTTCCTAAATTACTGCCCAAGATTTGGATAAAACGAAAGACTTACAGCTTTACTAATCGCCATCGGAGGCTGCCGGGCCAACCCTGTGGTGGCCCTGGTCGCACTGGGTTCCAACATTATTAAAGTGAAATATTGTGGGCATCACTTGCCTGGGCTCTTGTTTGTAAAGGGAGATACAGCCTAGAGAGAGAAGTTGGCCCAAAATCAGGCTCTGGGACTGGCTTTCCCTTCATCTTCCAGTGTGGGCTTGGGTAAGTTACTGCCCCATTCTGAGCTTGATCATTTTTTTTTTCTACCTCCAAATGACCATGCTAAGGCAGTGAGAGCTAGATCAGTGCTGGGATGACCTAGGCAGCTATACACCGATTGCTAATGCCCAGGCTAGCCCACCACTACCGTCTGCTATGAGGCCTTGGTATCAGATTTTTTAAAAACCCCTAGGCAATTCCAGTGCACAGCTGGCACACACCACCTTGAGCTGAGACAGACATTTGAGATGCCACCTTGGATACTCTCTTTTAGCGTCCCTATCTGGGTTTGGGGAGGGGCTTGAGAATCTGCCAGCTCTCTTTCTAGGCACTGGAGTTGTCTAATGCAGGGACCCAGTGGCCACAGTGAGGATCAGGATTGGATTGGGGATGTCTTCTCTTCATTGACTTGGGCCCCACCTGCCCTCAGATGAGGGAGCCACCTGCCCCAGCTCAGCTGCATTGCAGTGCTGGGGGCCTGAGCTGTTCACCAGGTCTGGGCCACCTCGAAGCTGTGCAAGAGCTCTGGTAGCCTCTATAGACAGACCATGGCCTTTTCACAGAAGCCTCCAGGCTAGCCGGGTGCCAGTGGCTCAGTTCTGTAACCCTAGCTAAGATCTGAGGATCGAGATTTGAATCCAGCCCAGGCAGGAAAGTCCGTGAGACTCTTATCTCCAATAAACTCAGATCTGGAAATGCTATGGTAGAGTGCTGGCCTTGAACAAAAGCTCAGGAACAGCACCCAGGCTCAGAGTTCAAGTCCCAGGATCAGCTCCTCTCCCCCACCCCCCTGAAAAAAAAATCCTCCAGGCATTGAGCCTTTTGTCCAAAGTCCGGCATGGTGTAGACCCACAGGTCTCATACAGAGCCTTCATCACCGTGCTGCCTCCCGCAGGGCTTTTTGGTCTCCTAGAAAGGCCCTGAGCCTAGCCTGGACAGAGCAATGAATCAAAAACAATGAACTTTCTCAGGCAGGGGCTCTTCACCCTCAGCCAGGTGCTTTTCAACCATGGCAGAGAGGCTGGGTCTTTGCCAGATACAAGGCCCTGTTGTAAGTGTTTTAAATATCCAGATTTGTCTAAGTAGGGTAGGCAATGTCAGTCTATCCTAGCAGTGTCAGACCAATGCTGACCAAAAGAAATGAAATGAGAGCTGTGTGTATAATCTAAAATTTCCTAGTAGGCACATTTTTAAAAAATGAAAAGAAATGCACAAAATTAACCTTGACAATGTATTTTTGTAACCCAATATATCAACACATCATACATAATCATATATGCCATGTTTTGGTTATTTGTTTACTTATTTTGAGACACAGTCTTGCTGTGTAGTCCAGGCTGGTCTAAAACTCACCACCCCCCTCCTGCCTCTGCCTCCTGAGTGCTGGGACCACAGGTGAATGTCCTTAGCCCTCAGAACAATTAACTAGCGGCAGCTGGATGCTTCCCATTCAGCAGGACTGTTGCTTTGGCATTCCTTGGCCTGCAGCTGTCATTCACCAAGGGTCTAGAATGTATCAGGTTCTCTTGGGGGCCTCACTTTCCCTGCAACAATCAGGCAGTTGTACAGGACAATCCCTAAGGTCCCTCCTTACTCTGGGGTCTCCATCCAGGGATGTGAAGGAGGCTGGCAAGTAGCAGATCTGGAATCTGGAGGTGGGGCTGCCAGGTGACACACCAGGACAAGGAAAAGGCAGGTGTCCCACAGTGAATGCTTCTTGCCTCCTTGGGAGAAAGTGAGCTCACACACCAAGCAGGGGTGTGGCAGAGAAGAGGACCCCTGGGATTTGATCACATAACCAGGCCCGTAGCTGAACCTCAGATAGGCTCTAGGGTGAGTCTCAGCTCTGTCCTTTTGGCTGTATGATGATAAGTTGGTTTGGCTGCGAATCTCAATTGTGAATCTAGGAAATGAAGGCGTTATCAGTCAACTTTGTGGGAGAAGATGCACAAGACCTGGAGCAGCAGAAATGTCTGACAAACCAGTGCCCCCAGGAAGCACCAGGGTGAAGGTCTTAACCACACAGGAAAGCGTGGCTGTGAATCCTCAGTCCAGCAGAGCTTGGTCTCTCATTACAGCTCTCCTGGCTGGCTCTGCCTGGGGCCTCATGACCAGGAGCTCCGACTTGGACTGTGGAGTCTAGGAGACAGGGTGGCCTCAGCCAGCCCCTTGCCACACTGGGCTCCCTGAAGAGCCCCTACCTGTGACTTTTCCCGCCTCTCCCTGGTCCCTCGCCTTCATGCAGGGAGCCCCATCCTTTCCACGCCTCCCAATCACAGCAAACTGCCTCATCAATCATGTTCTCTCTAATTAACTTCTAATTTACCTCTTTAGTCAAATCTGTTTACAATCAGAGACAAGAAAACACGCAGCAGCCTGAGGTATGGATGAAGGAGCCAGTGCTAGGGAGCGTGGAGGATCAATCAGCCTTTGACCAGGTGGGAGCTTGTGAGGGCTGAGGGCCTGAAGGGCAGCTGTGGGGGGTGTCACTGGGTTCAGTGTCCTTGTCCCCATGTGGGGTACCTAGCATCCCTGCCCACCCTTGGAGGCTTTTGTTTCCCAACTCTGTGTGTGTGTGTGTGTGTATGCATGTACACATGTGCATGCATGCACATGTGTGCAAGCCAATAAAGGGCTTGAAGCCAGGGCC